AAGACTGAGGGAAACTGGAAGCCTAGAGGGAAAGGAGGATACTTAAGAAAAATCCCTCAGTCTCTGGACCAATCAGGCTGTGACTAAACCCTGTTATAACCGCCGAAACTACAGGAAAAGCAGCCACAGCCACAGCCCAGCTCCAGCAAGTAGAATCCATGGCTTGGGCCACTGGTCAGTTTTCAACGGTAGCATATGGTTGAAAGGGGAGAGCTTGTGCAAACTGAAGGGTTGACCCAGGGGCTGAGGCTTAAAAGAACCAGTTCATGGACAATTCAGAAGCAAGATATGGTCAGCTCCGTTTATTGCCCTCAAAGCTGCCTACTCCAGAAGCACACAAAATATACAAGAAGAGATCATACCTAGAGACAAGTTCACCTCTGTGACAATTGCTGCTACTTTTCCAAATAGTTTTTAATGTAAATAAATATATGTGACACTCCTGAATTGTCCAAAAAGAGTAAAGGCTTCCAAAAATTCTGAATTCCCCAGTGAAATCTGGATTCTGATATCAAGGCACTCTTCAGTCACCACTCTCATATTTTGCTGTAAGGCTATGTGTAATTCAATATTATTTGGTTTTAAACATTTATGTAAAAAATCTTTTAAAAACATACATACCATCTTCCAAACCCAGGTTATCCCAGAGTAGCTTCCAACATAATGACAACAAAAAAGTATCTTGAGTAGATAAAATTTCTTAACATGTTGTCTGTTTATTAAATAGTTTTAGGATCAGAAAAAGAACACAAATGGACTACAGAGACCAATTATATTCAGAAGCATACAAATGTGTGCCCACTCACACTCATGCACAATAAATTCTACGTGATTATGAAAATAAAATTGCTGGTAAAAACTGGAGGAACCCTGTTCATCAATATTTTGAATCCATTCATAAACTAGTTTAGTATTTTTTTTTTAGTATTTTATTAGGATTTATAGGCCGCCCTTTTCCCTGAGGGGACTCAGGGAAAAGGGTTGATGCAGGTGCGTCACAAGCAGGATACTGTAAACCAGCAGTCCCCAACCTTTCTGGCTCAGTGCACTGGTGTAAGGGAATGGTTTTGTGCAACCAATGTACCACTTTCACAAATGCAGCTTTGTACATGTATGCCCACCACTTTCATGGCCCAGTTCCCAATGGGTTGCAGTGCAGCACTGGGCTGAGGAATTAGTGGTTGGGGACCCCTGCAAACCATACTTTTTGGGGGATTTGCCTCTGAATCTATAATTCAGAACTCTATACTATTTTGGCTGAGTAGGAAAATGTTCTGATTGCTGCTGGAAGACTTCCAGGGAATATCAGGTTATAATCTGATATAATTTGAAAAGGAATTTAAGAAGAGAACTAATGCAACCCCTTCTGTAGTGCTGTCTATAAAACTATACTGGAGTCACCAGAAATACCTGTTATTGACTCAAAAAAGAATTTAAAATTAAATATCAGGTGCATCTGCCCCCCCCCCCACAAATAGCATACTGTATCGTTTACATCTTATTTTCCAAGACAGCATTTGAAAAATAACTTACAAATAGGAGAATAAGGCCCTGAAAGAAGCAACTAAACAAAGGTCATGAAACATATTAACATGCAATAATTAATATTTAAAAAATATATTACAATCATGTTGTCACAAAATTTAAAGACCAACTTAAAATACATATAATTTTCATTTGTCTATCTACTCTTACAATAGAATCTACTCTTACAATAGAAAACTGAATGGAGATCTAATATTAACACTACAGTATTTTATACTTTCAATCTTAACCATACATTGTTAAATATATTTATCTTCCAGTATAACTGCGAAATATCATATATATATATATATATATGGAGTAATCTGCTTCTCCAGTAATGTCTTTTGCAAAGCAATGATCATTTAGCATTTTGCTCCAAAGCAGAGTACTCTGTTTCTGAAATCTTGGAAGTATCAATCAGCTTTGTAAGGCCAGTTTTAGCTGAGTATTTAAAGATAAATGCCTTCATGAGTTCATACTTGTAGTTTTGATTGATAAAGCTATAGAGGATGGGATTGATGCAACAATGAACCAGAGAGAGGCACTGAGTAACGTGAAGAGCTGCATAAAGGAAGTTCTCCATTTGGCAACTGAAGGGTATAAAATGGAAGGCCAACAAGAAGTCAAGCAAGACAACTATGTGGTATGGCAACCAACAGACAAGAAATACAAGGACATAGGAAAAAATAATTTTCACATTACTATTCCTCTCTTGATCATTAGAGGCCAATACAGTTGTGGCTAAAAGACAATTGGAAAGAGCAATGAGAGGAAAAGGAATGACAAAACCTAAAATAACCGAGGTTAGCTCTATGCCAGCTAGCCAGTCCTTTGCAGTCTCCTCTGGATAGACAGGACGACAATAAGTTTCATTGTTGGAGGAAACCGTCGTAAGGTAATAGGTATCAGGAAGGGCTGCAAAAAAGGCAAAGAGCCATACCAAGATGCAAATGCAACAACGGAGTCTCTTCTTTTTAACGCTGCTGGCAGGTTGGAAGTAAGCAACTGAGACGTACCGATCCACACTCATACATGTCAGGAAGAAGATGCTGCCATATAGATTGATAGAGAACACAAGGTGAGCTATTTTGCATGAGATTTCCCCCATGTTCCACTGGCTGTGTTGAACAAAGGAGACTACCCAGATGGGAAGAGTGATGATCACACAAAGGTCAGCAACAGCAAGGTTGAAGATGTATAAGTGAGTTTCATAGCCAGTAATTTTTGTTTGAAAATTCATCCAGACCACCACAAAATTGGCCACTAAGCCAATCATAAAAATAAAGATATACAAAAAGGAGAGGGTATAGAGCAGAGCACTTTTGTTAATCACATTTGGGCACAATAGGGAGTCCACAGTGATACACTCTCCATTGTTGCAGGTTACATTGGTTTCATTGAGATTCTCCACTTCCAGAAGATTGAATATTGGAGGCATGTCAATAGTATTCATTGCAGATGATTTTTGATGAAATGAGTCTGAAAAAAAGAGCAAAAAAGACACCATGAGCAATTTAGTTGAATAGACATTATTTGCAGTTGCCTTTATATCAAATAACTTATGAAAAGTATTGCAAGTTTTGGCTAGGCAGAATTTTATACATACCATTGTGTAAATAATTTTAATTTCAACAAAGTGCAGATATGGAATAAGGAAGACCCAAAACTGTAAGCTGTATGAAAAACAAACAACACTAATAATCCTATTCTTATCAGGAAAAGATTAAGAGACATTCTCATTCCTAGGACAAGAAGCACTCTTTTAAACAGGACAGGGCAATCACCACTGATTTATGGAGCTAGCAGCTTTTTCTATTTTACTGGAGTAAAAATGGAGATTATGCAGGGAGGGGGGAATTTCAGAACAAAATAGTGCAACCATCCCCTAAGTCAAACTGAAATCTTAGTAATTATATGGTAATTATATACTCTTGTTTTCTTGGAAAACAATACAGTAATTTACAATTGTCTTCTGGAAAGGTTTTTTTTCCTAATTCCCAGCCTTTGGACTTCCTTGCTTGGACTTTTCATTTTTGAACTTTGAGCAAGATAATCATAAACTTCTTTTTTGTTGTGTCTCCTTTGGCATTTCAAAGGTGCCAAGCCATGGGAGTGGCGAACAGGAGCTCATGTGGCTTCATGATACCTCTAGATCAGTGAATGGCGCTGTGCCCGTCTGGAAAAGGGGTTTGCCAGGTGGCTGCTCATAAGCGTAGTCACTTCATGGCTGCTGTGTTGCGCTGCTGCGACAGCGCAACACAGCCGTTCGCCTGAGGCTGTGCCCAGCTCTTCAGGAGCCCGTTCGCGAAAGAGCAGCTGTCTGGCAATCCTCCTCTCCAGCTGGGCACAGCGCCACTCACCGATTGAGCAGTATCCCGAAGGTGCCAAGCAACGCAAGCCCCTTTGCCCCCCCAATTCCCACAGCTTGGCACCTTCGGTATATCATTAGGTTGGTGAGAAGTGCTCTGCCTGGACGTGGGTGGGGGTTGTCCAGGGGGCTTATTTTCAGAGAAGGGCTTATATTTTTGCCCACCCAAAAAAATGTGGCATGGCCTTATTTTCAGGACATGTCATATTTTCAGGGAAACACAGTAAGTATCCTGCCCGCTCGCCCTTCGCCTTGGGTTGGGGCCGGGGACCCAGGGATGGACCATTCCCTGAGGCCCAGAGCTGCCGCCTGCCTCAGCCAGGTTGCGGAACACACCATTCCCCTGCTTCGCCCTTGCCCCGGAGCTGCCGCCCACTTGCCACCTGCCTTGGCTGGATTGGGGAACACACCATTCCCCTGCTCTGGTCTTGTCCCTGAGCCACTGCCCAGTTGCTGCCTGCTCACCTTCCACCTCGCTCACCTACTTTCTATTCTGGTTGTCTTGGGAGGGGGGCATGGCAAGGCTCAGCCGCCTTTGCAGGAAGCCTTCAGCCATCGGCCATTTTTGGCTGCCTTCCGAGCAGCTCCACTACAACGCCATCCATCTGGTGCAGCAGGCCGTTCTTCTGGCCAGGTCCAGCAGCTGGCCGTGAGCAGCACCAGCAGGCAATGGGGTACAGCTGGCTCAAAGAACAGGACAACTTGTCCCCTGATCATCACCACTGTTGCCGCCCTGTTCACGCTGGTAACACATGTCCACCCCATTGCCTGTTGGTGTAGCTCGCAGCCAGCCGCAGCCTAGACAACAGCTTTCTGCACTGGAGGAACAGCATCACAGAGGAGCTACTTGGAAGGAAGCTGCCAGCCTCAGTCTTTAAGGTACTTCGACGCAGGGGGGAGGGGGGCCCATAAAGGGACATGCAGCCGCAGGAGCTGCCTTCAGAGCAGCTTTGCTGCGGAAGGAGGCAAAAAAGTTTGGCTTCTCTTTGCCACAGTATTCAACATGCCTGCTTCTATCCACCTTCTTGGGCTCATACACACAGAGCAAACATGAGAAGGAGGCAAGAAGCAGCCCGATTGAACGCTAGAATACTTGGCAGAATACGCTAGAATACTTTTCTGTGTGTTGTGCACGTGGTTTTATGTGATGGTGTGAGTGATGTCAAATTGGCCATACCCACTTGGTCACATGACCCCTATCAAGCCACACCCACCAAGCTACTCCCACTGAACAGGTAGGGGGAAAAATTGAAACCCACCACTGATTCAAACAATAGAAATACGAGTCTTCTGTTTTATTTTGTTTTGAATTAGTTAGGTGAGAGCAGAGATAGCAGACATGCAGATGCGGGGGTGGGGGGGTTCCTCCTAAATAATTTAATTAAAAGTTTTTTAAAAAAACCTAAACAGGCAGAGAATAGCAACCACAGGGAAAAAAAGTGAATGGGGGAAAAGGCTGGACTTGCTTGGATTACCCTGGCTCTGAAAATGGAACCTGCAATGTGAATTGGAGGAAGGGGCTTTTACGAATCTGTTCCACCCAGCTTGGAAAAGGGGGAGGAAAAACCCCACTCAGAGCCAAGGCCAACAGAGAGTTCAGAGCTGTAGCGAGCGAGTGCCTAGACGGTGAGGAAAAAATCCCAAAGAATACTGGGACCTCAGGGAAGAATTCAGCGAGAGGGGCTCAGATGTGTTCTCACCCCATTGTCCCACAGACTACAGCATATAAATCCTCCCTGGGGTATAACTCTCTAAGCCAAACATATACTCAATGATCCAGCAAGAGCTGGAGGAACTGCAAACTTTTATTGACAAGAATCTAAAGCGGGGTTTCATCCAACTAGATAGATCATTGGAAGAGGCAGTGTGCAAATGCCATATCTGGAAACGAGGTTTAATGATATGTGTACCTGTAATAGAGCATAATTTGCTGAGTGTCTCTAGTTAAGACAAGCAAAAATTTGAGACCACATTTGCAAATGGAAGGTGTCTCATAAAGAGAAATGGGAATGTATGTGCACAGGACATAAAAGATCTTTCTGTGTTGCAGGGACAAAATATTCAATGTGCACAAACATTTGAAAATGTGCCACAACAAATTCATGTGTTCATCTCTTTGAAGGAAATAAATGGTAAGTTACTCTTATATAAAAGGGTTTAATGTACTGATAAGCCATGATCTTCTTACTGTTGCAAATTAACCATAAAATGTACTCAGTAAAACAGTACGTGATGACTTGCTAAAACTCCCCTAAAAAAAACCCATAAGTCTGAGACAAGGCCCACATTTGGTATAGGAACATCTGATTTCGCCTAGGGCGAAAACTACAAGGAAACAAAAATAAAATAATTGGGGTTCTGCAGGAAAGGTCATGCTGACCCTTTGTAGTGTAAAATGACTTAAAATAATGACTTAGAAGAGGGGGAGGGCTTCCTAGTCAGGGCGTGCATTGTGAAGAAAGTAGAAAATGTACAGCTTGAGTATTGTTTCTTACTCTCCTTGTTCTCAATCCAACTTGAGAAGAGATTTGGAGGCCGTCTTTGCAAATGCTTTCAAAATAAACTTTTGAATTGTAAACCAGACTTGTTTTCTGCATTGTGAGGATTTTGGGGTTTTACATCTCACATCTTGCATAGAAAGCTTGGCCATGCCAGCTTCAGAGTTTTGCAAAGGATACAACAGTTTGCAGAAAGTATAAACTTAAAGGGAGGTAAGGCATACTTGGACTGTGTAGAATGTAAATCATCGAAGTCCAAGGCATTTCTAATAAGCAAAAAGAGTACAAGGCAGACAACAAGAGCTCTAGAGCTGGTACATGCAGATTTGGTGGGGCCAAGGCAAGCCAGTTTAGGAGGAGCAAAGTATGCACTGGTCATGACTACAGCAGATTTAGGTTCTGCTATTTACTAAAGAGTAAAATAGAGATGCTGCAGAAATTGAAGCAATGGGTATTGCTTAAAGCATTGGCATGTTGTTATAAGTTGCCATGGTGAGGAAAGGGGGGGGGAGCGCATTCACACATTCCTTCAGCTAGAGTCAGATCTCAGATTATTGTCCGGAGGCGGATCTGATGTTGCAACAGTACGACGTGCGATCTTGAAGCGCCAAGATCACCATCGATATCTCTGTTGCTGGACGGTCCCTTTGGACCTAAACAGTCCCGTAGAGATGGTGATAGAGAAGGGCACATTCTGTTGATCCCAGGGACATCGTAAAGTCCCTGGTTGATTCAGGAGAAGCCCTTTTTCCGGCAAGAGAGAAGCAGCCATTGAAGCTGCTCAAAGTTGGGACAGCCCCAGAAACGGAAGGCAAGCTAGAGGGAAAGTGTGTCTAATTGGTGAGATAATTTTTATTATTAGATGAGAGAACATCCCAAAAGATTAAAAGTAAAGTTAAAATTGAAGACAGAAGAGGTCAAGTGGCGAGATAACCTGAATTAAACTTAGTGTGTCATTTTTCTTTAATCCTTTTACTGCTG